CCTGTGAATCCCAGATCACCAGCCAGCACTTCCAGTGCTGCTTCGCTTTCAGTCTATTTTGTCTTTCCAACTGTGGCCACAGACTCCTTGCACCTGAAGAGTCTGAAAAACCACTCGTTATGCTTAGAAGAACAACTCCGAAGATGTATTTAACTCAAACTAGTTTTTATTAGCTTTCAGGGCCTATGGAGAGGAAGAGGGAGAATACATTAAAGAGGACAAATCAGAGAGGACAAATGCTCCAGCGAGCAGGTGAGGGCAGACTACCGTTGGCATTTGGGGCGCCTGAAGTACAGCATGAGGCAGCAGCAGCAGCACAGGGAGGAAAATGAGGATACCTTGCCTGCTTCACTAACACAGTTGGAACAGGGTGACTTAGTTTGATGGGCGAAGAATTTAAAAGGCTATTCCCCCTACCTTAGTGGGCATTTCTTAAGTATTCTGCTCAGTAGCTTACAGGGAATTATCTCAATGACCCTCACAGACATCTCGCAGGCAAGAGCAGTTACTTTCCTTTTTTCACAGAGGCGGAGCCTTTGGCTTAGAGAAGAAAGAGAAGCTGGCTAAAATCTCACTGTGAGTAAGAGCTAGAGCCACATTCAATGGCAATTTGATTCTCTGGTTCAAGTAACCCTTTTTTGGGGGGGATAGGGAAGGATGGCTATGTCTATAGCTATACCATTTGTAGCTGTATCTTTGTATGTATCCTTCTGTTAACGTGTAATTTGGGTAACCTTGGAAATGAATCTGTAGAATTACTTTCCATGTCGGTATTATCAGTCTTGTCATCAACCTTGGTATCCAGGTTAGCTGAATTAGATAAAAAGAAATCAAAATTTGAAAAGCTATTCTATTTTACAAAATTCAACTTAAAACAGTAGGAAAAAGGGAGATAAATGACTCTTCGGAGCAGTATGGACATGATAATGTCAAGCAGGACTTTTACTCTTGAATACCATCTACAAGCTCAAGAGCCCTTATATATGGTTTTACTGGTTATTTATAGGATGCTGGTGTAGCCACAGTTAGTCAGATGTCTTCATGGCTGAGGACAGGCAGGGACGAGTGACCCCGATAAGGCAATGCCTGCAATATAACTATACCCTGAGTCACTGAGTTATTTAGCTATACATGCTTTATTTTCTGGATCTTTTATTTCCTTGCACTTTTAACTTAGTAGTGTATATTCTTTTTTTTATATTCTCCCCACCTATAAGTTGGTAGTGTTTTATAATTTCATATCTCTCAACAGTCCCCAGACAGGCCCTCATATTATTTGATTTTCCCCTTTTATTTGAAAAAACAATGCTCAGTGTTCTTATAGCAAAAATTTCCACTTGGAATTGTACAAGTAAATACTGTTTTTATACCACATATATAAAAGCTCCTAGCTTTCCCAAATACAGCCGCTACCCAAATTGTAAATGGAACTTTTCCAAACGTTATTTTGTAGATTGGTTTTTGGAACTCTGTAAAAGTAATATGCATACTGCATATCCTTCCAGATCAAAGTACACAGGAGCTATTCAGTTTATCATATGCATGAAGTAAAGTGATCCCCTAAACCACCATAAGCCAAATGTTCATATACAACATGGTCCCCATACAAGTGCAGATATGCAGATATATGTGAGCCCCGCCTGCACCCCCAAAGATGCCCACCCTCCCTGCTGTGAATTGGGAAGGGGAGGCCATTGTTCACTTGTTTGGGTTTAGGCCATGTACCTTGGGGGAGCTAACTCTTGGCCTCCAACTCAAGAAGGCTGTTTGGTAGCATTGGAGGCAGAATGCCAAGGGGGATAGGTGGTAGCTTCCTGGGGCCCTTCAAGTGCTGTGGTGGGGAACTCTTGTGAGAGGTCACTTGTTTCTTTCTGCTCCCTCTCCTGCTCCTTTGTTGTTGCCAAAAGCATTGTAAGGCAGCATCAGAGGCAATTCCTGTTCTGTTCTTTGGCTTTGACATCTGTGATAGAGGATCATTGGAATCAGAGCTGTGGCTATGAAATACCTAACTGAGGTTGAGGGAGAGGATCCCTTCCTGTAAGCACAACCTGCACCCCCAAACACACACACACACACACACACACACACACACAAGGATGTGGAAGAGTATGGGATGGAAACTAGAAATCCTAACCCTCCACATGTTGGTAGCATCAAAGAGGTATGAAAGTAGAGAGGGAAAGAAAGTATTAACAGAGAAGGGAAGTAATAATTAAAGGACAGACCCAGGTCACACTTGGCCAGTTAAATAGAGGACACAACCCAAATTGAGGTCCCTAAACTTACAGTCATATAAAGAACTATTTTATTTTGTAGGAAAGGTATGTTTTAAAAGTGAAATGATTAAATCCAGATGTAGAATTTTCTGTAGATAGCTCGCTTTATGTGTCAGTTTCCTAATCTGTGAAATGTAAGTAGGCCTTGGGAAATCTGCTCATCTTAGGTAGTCCAGGTGGTTGGGAGAGATCCCAGCTTGCCCCGAGTTCCCTCCTTCCTATCTGCAATGCATCCTCTCCTCTCATAGTAACCTTGGGAGCCACAAATGAACAGGCTTTGCCCCACAGCCCAGGATGTGTGAGGGCAATGTGTGTGCAAGCCATATGAGGTGGGCAGGCAGCAGGGTCTAAATGGAGCCAGCCTGAACCCCCAACTTGAACCTTTCCTGCCTGATCCATCAAGGCAGCAGCAGAAAGTGAAGTGGCAGCTGGAGAAGAAAAGGGTGAGTCTTATTAGAATTTTAGCCTATTATATCGTGCATAGTGGCAGGTGAACTCTCTGCCTAATCCATCTCCCCCAGAGTATAGCCCCCAAGTTCATGTTTAAGTATGCTTTTGAAGCCAGAAAAGTAATTTTAAAAAATAGTAAAAACAAACTTTTTAATAAAAAAAAAATAGTAAAAACATCTTGAATGAAGATTTGACAAATATCTTTTGACTTCCTAATATTCCTTTTACCCACTTCTTATTGAAATAAAATAAAATATTTCATGAATAAGAATGGTGGAGGGAACTAATGAGATGATTTGTCAAACTTAAACTAAACTGGATTATATGAGTTAGGATAAAATTTAAATTCTTTTTTTTTTAAGATTTATTTATTGGGGTACAGGCTAGAGATGTGGAGGGTGAGAGGCTTCACCAGAGACAGAGTGGGGAGCAGAACAGGCAGATGGACGAAGTACACTGCTGAGGGGAGCAGCGGGCGGGTCAGGAGAGGTCTGCCTCGCCATGTGGTCGCCTCCGGGGCAGTCGGGAATCGAACTCATGCAGAAGTGGCTTAAGCTTCTCAGTGCTGTGCTTTAACCCGCTGCGCCACCAGGGAGGGCCTAAATTCTTTTTTTTTTTAAAGATTTATTTATGTATACATACAGAAATGGGGTACAGGCCGGGGGTGCAGGGTGGTGAGAGGATTCACCAGAGACAGGGTGGGGAGCAGAACGAGCAGATCAACAAAGTATACTTCTGAGGGGAGCAGCGGGCCAGACAGGAGAGGTCCGCTGAGCCATATGGGTCACCTCCTGGGTGGGGATCCGGTGGTGATCAGGGATCACACTGCACTGAAGCAGCCAGGGGCTTGGCTCTGCATCACCAGGGAGGTCCCTTCATTTCTAATTATAACCTCAAGTAGGGTACATTAATTTAGGAAAAAGTAGTTGATCCCCACACAGAAACATGATTATTCCAGGACATAAACTATTACTGGCTACCAGAGTGGGGGGGGGGGCACAGTGAGGAGAGGGGTAAAAGGGGACTATGGTGGAGTATTGTGGGTGGTTGGTGCTGCTCTAGGGATGGCAACACACATCCGAAAGGGATGATCTAGACCTCTAAGGCATGCAAAATTTGTAATCCAATGTTACCTCAGTAAATAAGTAAACCAATCAATCTGTCTTCATGACCTCCCTTCTCTTTATCTTTAGTGGCACCGTTAGAAACAATTGAAAGGGGAAATCCTAAAACATCCCCCTCCAGTGATTTTTTTTTTTTTTTTAAGTCTAAGCCATCTGTTTCTGGGTGACTGGGGGCTGCTTGAAAGGGCTCTGCTAAAGCCCAGAGCTTCAAAACCTCCTGTTGTCAGATTCTGCTTTAGAGAGACAACTGAGCTAGCCTAGCTCAGTCCCTGGCCTGCAGGAACCAGGCAGGTGCTAGAGGGGACGTTCTGGCTAGGATGGCAAGCAAGGCAGATGAAGTCTTCTCTGGTTAGACAGGAAATTTGGTATTAAGAGAGCATCCCTGAGCGCCAATAATAACCAAACAACTGGTGTTGTCCAGGGCACCAGGTGGACCGTGGGACGCAGGAAGTAGAGGGTTCAAGCTCTTTGCCCCGGGTTGGCTCTGGAATTTAATTTCAGCGCATGTTTACTCATCAGTGTTTGGGCACGGTGTTAACTACCGGGATATAAACGTGAATGGAACGTAGTCTTGCCCTTGAGGAGCTGACCGTTCAATAAAATGGCCTCAGCGTTTTTCGTGGACTTTTATAACTTTTACCTGCAACTTGTCAAGGGCGAGTGGTAACTAAATCCATCCACAGTTTTCCTCTGAAGATTTCAAAGCGAGAACACAAGGGCGGCACGGGGGTGGCAGAGCTATGGCTGCGAGGACCGGAGACAGGCTTGGGAGGCGCCAGACCCGGAGTTGTGGGGGTGCTGCCTCCTGGCAAGGGACAGCCAAGACCGTCCCCCGCATCGGCACTCTCGGCTTGGCCGGGGCACGGAGCGGCCGCGGCGGGGCCAGCAGCTAGGCTGGTGGGGCCGGGCAGGGGACCCGGGCCAGGCTGAGGGCTGGCACCGGGGAGACTGCGCGCCCCGAGCCCGCAGCTAGGGGGCAGAGTTCCCGGGCTCCGGCGGCCGGCCACCTGGGGCTCAGCCCCGCCATTCCCGGCAGCGTCCGCGCCTTTTCTTTGCGGGTGCTCTCCGAGCTCAAGCTCAGGATTTCACAGCCCGCCACCGGGCGGGGGCGGGGGCGGGGGCAGGGGACACGCAGAGACTGAGGCGAGGCGGGGAGAGGGAGGCGGTGAGCGCGGGGAACAGGAGGGGGCTCGACTGGGGGATTCGAGGGCCGCCGCAGCCCCGCCCCCGCCCCCTCCTCTCCTCCCCTCAGCCGCGGAGTTGCGGGGGAGCATGGACCAAACCCCGCTGCTCTGGCACCATGATGCTCGCGAGCTTGGTGGTAGTTCTGATTTTAGGGGCGCTCCCCGAAGTGGCCGGTTCTGAGGCGGTCCTCAGTTACCCTCTTCACCGTCGGCATCGTCATCCGCCCCCTCCGGCTCCCCAATACTCCTATCACCTTCCCATTCAGCAGCGGCAGCAGAGGACGCCTCCACCGCCCCCTCTCCCGCGCGCCCCGCGTCCGCCGCCGGCGCTCCCTGCCCCGCGCCCGCACGCCCCCCACGCCGGGCACGCGTCCCGGCCGCACCCCGGGGGCTGCCCGGCCCGCGAGCGCTGGGTCAACGTGACGGACTTCGGCGCCCCTTGCCTGCGCTGGGCAGAGGTGCCGCCCTTCCCGGTGCGATCGCCTCCGGCCGGCTGGGCTCCGCTGCGAGGGCAGCGCCACAACTTTTGCCGGAGCCCAGACGGAGCGGGCAGACCCTGGTGCTTCTATGGGAACGCCCAGGGCAAGGTGGACTGGGGCTACTGCGACTGTAGACACGGTGAGTGACTGCCGGGCAGCGACAGAACTGGGGACTGGCGGGGAGCCCGGCGACTTGAGGGGGCGTTAGGCGTTTGAGAGGTGTGAGGTTGTGGTTTGCACTGCCCTGTGTGAGGGTGGTAGTGTCTGAGTTGCCTACCTGGTACCTTGGTCACTTGATTTTAAACTAGCAAAGGCAAGCTTTGTGTGTGAAGGTTGTCAGTGGTGATATTTTCTCCGAGGGACTGTGCTTTGGGTTCCTGGATGTTGTCTTGTTTCTGGACAGTTGTGTATGTGTGTTCTCCAAATCAGCTTGCTTTGAGGGTGTTACCGTATTTACATAAAAGAGACACAGTAAAGGAAGAGAGTTCTCATTCCTTGAAGAAAACATTAAAGTCCAGGTGATAACCAGTAACCTTCCCTTCCCCTGCCCTCCAACCCGAGATTTGGAAAAATGTGGTTACTCCCACCACTGACCTCGGTTTGTTAAAGTGTGGTAACATTTCTGGGTCAAAATTCAGTTTTTCAAAATGATGTTTATATTCTGGAACACAGAATGGTAAATACCAGTGAGTGAGACAGAAGGGAAAAGAGATGGGAGTATTAACTGGGAAGAAGCAATTTGATAGAGTCAAATGCAGATGTCAAGAATGCTGTTATGTAGCTTTGTCTGTGTGGAACATCAGTATTAGCTGGTTAACAGCAAGAGTCAAGGTTGGAAAGATATTCTGGTTTTGTACTAACAGTGAAGGCATCACAATAATAGATTTAATCTGCTTTTGGAAAACACTTCATTTTGAGTTGCAAATCTTAGTGCTGCCCTCCACCTTCCAGCTGAGAAAAAAAAGCCTTCTGTCCTTCAAAGTTTGAATGTTCCTTCAAAATTATTTTGGCAGCTCTCCATCCAAACTGTGGGGCAGGGTTTTCACGATTTAGGATTTTGAAATATGTTGTACTTTGTCTTTGGAGGTAATTTGGAGGTTAGCCTCCACAGTGCCATCCTTTTTCTACAGAAAATTTTATTGTGCCTTCAATTGCATCAGCCCTTTGAGCTAAAGGTAAGTGATACGAAGGTTAAGATCAATTATCCTTCATCCCGGAGAATGAAGTCATCGTTGTACTCGTGTTTCATGGACAGAATGCCAATGTGATTACAAAAAATTTGAGGTGATACCAAGCAGAGAGCCCCAGCATTGTCTCAGTATGTACTGTAAAGGTTATTTATGTAGTGCAGTCTCTTGTTTAGCAAACACTGGCAGTATTTTCTTTTCTTTCCATTTTTCTATTATTCTTAGTTGTATGTATGAGTAAGGATACAATACTTAGGCAATAAATGTATGGGGAAAAATAAACAAGCTTTCCTTAAATGTATATTTAAACATAACTACTGAAAAGAAAAAAAGGAATTTAAAGTTAAAACGTTATATTGATCTATGACTCTTTCTGACATGACTCTTTTGATTTTATATTTCAAACGAGAAGAGGAATTCGTCCTTGCAATCACCTACTTGTGTTGAATAGGAATTTACACCTCACAGCAGCACAGACTCTTTGTGATGCTTTTATGTGCACAGCTAATTTGCACCAGACTGCACTCCAAACACTGCATAATTGTTGTTTCTAAGCCTGGGGTGAAGTGATTTGAACACCAGAGAAACAAAAGAAATTGCCCAAGATGGGAGATAACCCTTCTCCCCCACCAAAAAAGAGCCGGGGGTGGGTGGTGGGTGGGAGAGGATGACCATTGACTGGCTATGTAATAATCTCCTTACTTTTACAGCTTAGTCTTAATAACCAATGCTTCCCGTCCTGGCATTTACTTCCCCAGCTGTGATTTGTCATAATTCACATCTTCAAAATGACTACCATCTTCTGAAGCTTATGGCTTTCTGGGGCCTACATTGCACATAGAAGTGCGAGCAAAGTTCTCATGGGATGATGAGAAGAATATGAAATTGTCCTTTACAAAACACTGGTGTTTACATTTGGCTATGCCTTGTTGGGCAAGATTCTCACTCCCAGAGTTTTGGTTTCCTTGTTTGGAGAAAAGCCATTTTGAATAGATTGATTCGTGGGACTTTTCTAGCTCAAAGCATGTACCAAAATGTCCTGGTCTGACGCTCTGTGTTGGGCTAAGCATTTTATGTGTTAGTTTTTTATCTTGTTCTCATAGCAACATTATAAGGTAGCACGCATTTTCACTTCACAGCTCATCTTGCTCCAGTTCTTTAATTAAGTAAACATAATGCGATATCTGTGCTGTGTGGTGATCTTATTGTTCTTTCAGGACTAGTCTAGAAGGAAGGGGAAAGGGAATTACATTTTGTACAGAGCACATGATTTCTGGTTTCTGATGATTTCAAAATACTGAGTTTTTTTTTTTTTTTAATAGCAGTGAGGACAAAAGGAAAGCAAACGGGTAGAAATGAGATCCCTGCTTTAAAAAATAAACAAGAGGCCAGACTTCCCTATGTAGTTGCATGAGAGGAATGAGAAAGTTGGTGTCACAGGAGGAGAGTTGGTGGGTCTAGTTTGGAGGAGAGTGGTAGGAGCTCAGGTGAGCTTGCGCAGGGCATGGACATGCCAGTGGCCTGGATGTCTGAGTACAAGCAAGCTGATGTCCAGCCCTGGTTGTCTGAAACTTGGAAATTAGTAATAGAGAATTATTCAAGAATCCATACAGCCCAGGGATTTAGCTCTCAAAATGAGCCTTAGAATCGGAACGCGGAGAGAATTGTTAAAATGCAGGTACCTGGACACATCTTGCCTTCAGAGGGCTTGCTTGAAGAAATTCTTTGATCTGGCCCAAGAGTTGCCTTATTAATGAACAGTCAAGAGGACTTGGATGCTGGAGACCCTTTCTCACAGTCAGGGAAAGCCAACAGAACCCACCTAGAATTGCAGAGGTGGTCATCACGCAGACTGAGATTGCCCTTCTGTGAGTTCACCGTGCTAGATTTAGGATTGGGCACAGGTAAGCGTAACATCACTTTTTGTGTGGTTTTAGGAAATGACACCAACTGGTTTTATTTGACCGGTGTGGGATGATAGCACCTGATTGACCAGAATCTGACTATCAACTGAAAGCAAGCTTGGTTATTTCCATATTTCTGTAGGAACAGTGAAAGGGCTATTAATTCGCCCCAACAGTGAGTAGGAAGGGAAATCACTTTTCTAATCTCTGGTTAGCAAGACAGATGGGACAACTTGGTTGATGCTGTGTTAGAGGCTTCTCTTTGGTCTAAGCAAACAAGTCAGCCACGGTGACTGAGGGCTGCTGGGTAAGAAACAAGCACAATAAATCATAATACGATTTTACCACACCAAATGATTCCGATCTTACCGGAAAGAATGATTCATAGATCTGACTTCTTGTCATGCCCTGCTAATGCCTTCATGTTTACCTATTCCCCCAAATCTACTGATTCAAATAGAGAGACTGATTTGTTTGACAATTACTACTGTTTACAGGCTGTGCTCTTTGAAGTCCATCTGCTGTTTGAAGTGAATGTTAATTAAAAAATTGGTGGAAACCTGTCTCCCAGTTTTTAACACTGCTATTTGATTCTATGTAGTAAGGGCTGGAAAACATGTATTAGCAACAGACTTGATACATTTCCTGACCAGATTTGAAAGCAGACCTCAAACTGCTATTCCGATTAAGGCAGATATCAAATATGTTGATTTGGGAATATTATCTGACCCTCTACTACTGCCAAGGATTTTTTTTGGCTTGTTTGTTTTTAAGAAGATACTAAGATGTCCATTTTCTATTGTCTTTTATGAGTGATAATCTGTGACTATATGTATGTACTTACTATCTTTGAGTGTGTGTATGTGTGTTTGATTTGAGGTAATCTTTGGAAACATAATTCGGTCTGCTACTATGAAGATAATCCTAAATGTTCTACAGTAAGAGACATCAAAAGTCTCTTCTTTTGATGGGTCCTATCCGGCTACTAACCTGGTAATTGCTAAAATTATATGTAAAAAGTGAAAAGATGCTGATGATAATGTGAAGGGAAGAAGATAGATACAGAATATATATACAATATGATTAAACCGAACATAAAGAAGCCTGAGAAAAGTTAGAAAGAGAGAACAAATGGTAATATTGAGTTGGGAATGAGGGTAGCTTGGATCAATTAGGATGATTTTGGTGGAGAAGGGAAAAAGTCCCAATTGACAGAAGCGCTGAGGTTTGTTGTTTATATTCTAAGAAGTTAAGCGCCAATATGGCATGCCTCTCTGTCTCTCTGCACCTTTATTCTCAAAATGTGACTTTTATTCCTAGGCCAGTGGTATTCCAGGCCTCACAGGGATATAGAGCAACCTCAGAAGAGAGGACTCCTAAGTCACATGGAAAGAACAAGGAAACCTCCCAGAATTCTCTGGCAAAATTCCTTTTCCATTTCATTGGTCAAGATTGGATCATCTGTTCCTTCCTGAGACTCTCTAGAAAGAAAAACAGTATTTCTAATTCCTTAGACCAGTCAGGATTAACAGATGGGGGCTCTCCTTCAAGAGGAAGCAAATAATTGTGGAAAAGAACCACTGGAGTCTGCTAGGAAATGTAGTTGGATTTGTCTTTATATTTGGGCAAGCACACAATTCAAATTAGTAAGTAGTTTAAATTGTGCTGTGAAATACATTATCTAGATTTAGTCATATCTAGATGAATAACATTTAGATTTTGATAATCATGGTTAAAATGCCTGATTTATTATTTTCAGAATGCTATTTGTAGGCCTAGCAAATGTATATCTCAAATGAGGAACCAGTTCTCAGTTGAGCTGTCAGAAGAATACCGAGTATTTTCATTACCTTTTCAGTGATACCTACTTGGGAGATAGATAAGAGGATTGCTATAAAGTGTAGTTTAATTCCATCATTCATGTTGTACCACAAGATGGAAATACAATAGCGATATCTTTTGTTTCAGGGTTCAGAGACATACAATTTGTGAAATTTCTGCTAGGGTTATATGCGTTTATTGTTAGTATACCATAATTTTACCATGAG